TCAATGATGCTTAATTTGCGCCTGCTCTGCCCTGAGGGGCCTAGGGGGAGTGGCAGGTGTATGTTAAATGAGGCACAGTCTGCGTCAGCCAGGCTTGTTGCTTCCTCAATGCTCGGAGAAGTGGGTGGACTTTGTTCTGAATTTATTTTTTAATTAAACAGCCAAATATTGGGGCCTTTAGCCAAGCTTCACTGGCTTGATTATGAATAGTTATTTCTTTGGTGTCAAGTAAATTGCAAAAGTCAAAAACAGATTTGTTGTGTTTTGCATTTATTTCTGCTATTTTTAACAGAAATGCTAGGCCCGTTACAGTGCATCTTGCATAAGTGAGCATTGTTTATATAATTTAGTGCAAATGTAAAAAGTCTAAAACAGATTTTGCTTTAGTTTTCACATTTCAACTTTAGCTTTAGCGTGAAATGTGAATATGTGCTGAAAGCAAACAATACGCAAAATCGTAGCATATTTTCATAGCTGTACAACAAAGAAAAACATATTGTAGGCATTTCGCCCCAGCCTGGGCGAAGCACTTAAGAGACGTTTAGCAAAATTCAATTTTTGTACTATTTTTTTTTCTCTCGACGACTACGCCCAACACGAAACCCCCTCATCGAGCTGAAAACAACGCCCCAAAAGTAAAACATACACAGCACACACACCCGCGCACACACACACACACACACATACATACTGTGAGACATTGAAGAGACCTAGACATAGTACCGAAGCTGAGTTCCGAGCTGCGAGCCCGGCCGTAACGCTCGACAGTGTCTGCAAATGACAGCAGCTTTGCGTTTATATAAAAGCCAAAAACATGTGATATGCTTTTTGTGCACATAGCCAGCGTTTTATATAAGACACACAATATATATATATGTATGTATATATATATGTATATATATATTTATACACTTACCCCCGGGTCGAACATTTCTTGGCTAAAGCCACCCACAAACAGATTACAAAGCAATGCCAACCCCCGAAAATGAACCAACCCCCAAAAAAGGGAGAAAAAAATGAAAATAAAAACGCGGCTGTACACGAGGACATCGCCGCCATGACAGGCCATGTGCCAATTCCACGCGTACCGGGCGCCAGGCGCCAGGCGTCACGTTAAACGCTTTTCGCTCCGCTACGAAATTAACAATTTGGGCCTCGGTTAATGGGGGCGTAGGCGCCGAAAAATATGCAAAACACATTTCTAAAGCGGCCTATTTCAAAGTTCAGCTGCTGCTTCTTCTTCTGCTTCTGCTACTGCTGCTTCCTCTTCTTTTATGTACAGGCTTGGGATTTACTTTATTGAAATATTTAAATAAGTTTGGCAATGCGCACAGCCTAAATGGGATTTGCATGGCCCGGACGTCCTTTGAAAGTGTGTGGAAATGTCTTTTGGCTCTGAAATTGACATTTTATAAATGGGGCTACGATTTTGGTTGCCTTACACTCTTCACCCCCATCTTTCCAGCTCAAAACTTAAAGCAATAAAATATTTAAATGCTCGTTTTTTATTTTTGAAATGTGAAAATTATGCGTTTTTTTAGCAAATACACCAACCCCTTTCTTCTGCCAGGCGCGTGTCGCGCACTACTCTCTACTCCTGCTCGGCCTCCCCCCCGCTGAGTTTCGACCGCAAAGCGCACCAGGAGCTGCCCATATGGGTTATGCTCTCCATGGCATACATAGTACATAAAGCGACTCGTAAAAACAGGCACAAAACTGCGATGCAGCCGCGCTGATAGAACTGATAAGAAGCGTAGGAAAAACAGCGTGAGATAGCTGGGAAAACAAAAGGAAGAACTACGAATAAGACAGCTGCCTGTCGAAATTTATGTAATTAGCCTTTTAAATAGCATGGAAAATTTTTAGAACAGATAATACGTTGTTTTACAAAAGAAAAGTGTGTGCTGATAGAATGCAAATAAATACACATTGAACTATTTTAGCGATTGGGAAGGTTGCCGGTTCTAATCCTCAGGCTTGCGAGCTGGCCGCTATTTAAAAACTAGTTTAATTTTTTGATCAACATATTCCATAAGAATAACAATTACATTCTTCAGGCTGTTCAAGCGTCCCAGTCATTCAGGCAATTGAAAAGGGAGGTCGCTGGTTCAAATCCTCACTCTAGTGTTTTGTTTCTTTATAATCTAAGCGCTATTTAAACACTAGATTCCTTTATTTATAATAAAATTCCATACATTGAAGCTGTGAGCTGGCCAAGCGATCCAGTCATTCAGGCAGTTGAAAAAAGAGGTTGCTGGTTCTAATCACAAGACTAGTCTGAATAGCAAGTGCTAGTTTAATATAATATACCAATTTTATTTACCGTAATAAACAATAATGATAACAAATTCATAAGAAACGCACTTCTGCTACAAACTTCAATTAAAATTCCATTTGTAACCTTAAAATAGGCGCCTTTTACGCTCATTTAAAAATACACATGTAAAGCCGACACTTGACATTTTAGCCCCTACTCCACTCCCTCTCCAGCCGTACCATGGGTAAATGTTGAACTGTTTTGTAGACCTTTTGGATCGCATCGAAAGGCATTCGCTGCGCTTGTTTCTCAATCATTTCTTGTCGTGGGCTGCGCTGTCTGTCAAAATAATTGAACCAGTCGGTCGGAGTTCGGACTGATTGTTCGGGTAATACGCATATTTATTGCTCTTAAGTTTTGACAAATTAATAGAAAATGTCCGTAAATACAAATAAATTAATAATGCGACACGTTATTCACATTGAAATATCATTTGATTTGAGTTTTGAAGCAAACTCAAAGTTTATGCAAATGCGCGTAATAAAGCACATAAATTAGTATTAAATTACAAGGCAGGCAGCCAAACAATAAACAATGAGAATGACAACAACAAAAACAACAACAACAACAAGAGTTCGTAAAAAAAGTCTGACTATAACTTGTTGAGCTTGTCCAAGAGCACCGCTGGATGTCTTTTTATATGGCGCACACACAAAGCCCCCAAAGGGACAGATAATAATGCAGCTTTTCAGTGTAGCCTCCTCCCCTTGCTCCCCAGGCACTCGGGTACTCCCCCAAATCAAACACACTCCCCTGGTATAGCCCATAACTATGTCCGCTTTAAGCTCAAGGTGTGAAAATGTTCGATTATTGTCATCGTCTGTTTGGTTTCTGTGTGGGTCGCCAGTTGGGCTCTGTAGCCGCATCTGTGGCCGGGTCTGTGCCCGGGTCTGCGTCCGACTGAGCCGCTTAGCTGCAATTGTCATGAGGCGATGCTTATAATGGCCGCTTAGCTGGCACATAAATGCCATATGCTAAATGGGATTTCACTCAACTTTTCGTTCACGAAGTGCTTGCTCTCTCTCTCTCCCTCACTCACTCTTTTCTCTCAGTCCCTCAGTCTTCATCACGTTTATTGAAACTGATGCATCCAGTGTGGGCGCTTGTTTTGATACAAGAGCAGTTCATGGATCTCACTAAATAGCTTTAAGTTTGATAACAGCTTAGAAAATGCATAAGAAAAAAACATAAGTGTGTGTTATCATCATTAATTCTGTTGATATAGTAGTATATTTAAAGCATGTAACGTGCTTTACAACACTTTGTTATACATTCCCTACTATAAAAAATTTTTATTAGAGTCAATGTTGTTCAGTCGCACTTTACCAAGTTTTATCTACAACCTACAACATTTTTTAAATATATTTGCTTAGTGTGTGAAGCCGTGTTCGTGTTTTACAACACTATATATACAAGAACAACACTTAAATAAACTCTACTAAATAAACTATTAAACTCCCGTTATTACACTTATATAAAGAAAAACTCCTATGTTAACCTTTTTTATTAAGGAAATGTAGTTCAGTTAGTCAATAAATGATTCGTTTAGTATTTGAGCTTACTTAAGACATTTTACGCCGTTTACAACACTGTCTTTAATAATAATAACTATTATATACATTTTGCCACTAGAAAATCGTTTTAAATTAATTTGTGCCAAATTTTTTTAGTTCTGAAAAGTCCTGAAAAGTAATGAAAAGACCTGAACGCATTTTACAACACCACAGCTTCATTTACGTACACATAACTCCAATTAAAAAGACTTTTCTTTTGTATAACTATAATTTAGTCACGTTTCTTTGGGCTTATCACGTTCTAGGAACTAATTTTAATGCCTGCCTGTAATAAGCCTTTTTATCTACAAACATCCAAGCACAAGTGTAGCACATATTTGCCAAATTATGGGTTAGCCCTCATTTAAAATATGTTTTATTATTTATGACTAGGTTCAGGCTAAATCCAAAAATTTTATCTTAAACACATGACTCCTTTTAGCCGGCAACTCTTTGGCCGGGCTAACACATAATTTTGTAATAAGCCATAAAATATCACCCAATCTTTAAATGTTTAGCCATGGATTGTTTGTTGCTTGGGAAAGGTGTTATGGACATGGCTCTAATGCTTGTATATAATAGATAATAGTTAACCTTTTGACCTTTTTCGTTTCCAACTTATTTTGACCCATGGTCCGTTTAGTTTTTCACATGTCCCGACAAAGGACAACAACAGACGGCCGCGGCACAGGTGAATTTTTCCGTTTTCTGTTTTCATTTCTTTTTCCTGCATGAACGCTTCAGGGTCGTGGGTCGGGGATCGGGGGTCGCGGGATCGAGCGAGTGTGCGGCCCTCGCCGCTGTTTGATTTCAAACAATGCCTTGATCCCGCATAATTTATATGATTTTTCTCTATAAAAATGCTGGACAGACGTCGCCTTTTTCCCACCTTTATTAAATTGTATTGCTATTGAGTTTGAGTCAGAGTTTCGAGCTCGATTTCGAGTTGGAGTTCATAAATGGGCGTCTTTTATGGGCATATATTTATATTTTATGCGTGGCACATAAATAATGTCATTTATTGCCTTCGAGAAGGGGAGGGGGACCCAGGGCATATCTTTTGTTTAAACTTAACAACAATAACTTACCAAGATTTTCCGTATTTTCCTTTTTCCTTTGCCTACTTTCAGGCGAGAAGCCTTTTAAGTGCGAGCACGAGGGCTGCGATCGCCGCTTTGCCAACTCCTCGGACCGCAAGAAGCACTCGCATGTGCACACCTCGGACAAGCCCTACAACTGTCGCATCAATGGCTGTGATAAGTCCTACACGCATCCCTCCTCGCTGCGCAAGCACATGAAGGTAAGTACAATTGAAAGGGATTAAATCCTGATTCAGCTACTCAGCTATTTGGCCGTGTCGTCAGCTCCAACTAATGCATCTCTCTCTTGCTCTTTTTCTCTTCCTCTCTTTCTCTTTTGTGTCTCGCCAGGTGCATGGCAACATCGACGAGAAGTCACCGTCGCACGGCTATGACAGCGAAGGCGAGGAGAGCTCCAGCTCGAGCATTGTGACGGGCGGTGCACAGACGCCGCCATCGACGCGGCTGGATGGCAGCGCGGGCAGCAGCAGCGGCGTCAGCAGCCTGAGCGGCGGCAGCGGCATTAAATCGTCGCCGCACTCAATTAAATCGGAGCCAAATCCCTTGCATAGCGTGCATCTGGGCGCCTCCAGCAGCGGCAGCAGCAGCACCGCCAGCAGCAGCGCCTCCCACCTGTTGCAGCAGCAACAACAGCAGCAACAGCAGCAGCAACAACAACAACAACAACAGCAACAACAACAGCAGCAGCAGCAGCAACTGGGCCCACATCAGTCGCTGCATGCGGATTCGAAATCCTCGCCTGCGCTGCAGCTGATGGCCTCCTCCGCGTATCTGCCACCACCATTGGGACCACCGCCGTCGCATCATCATCATCACCATCATCATCAGGTGCCAGGCAGCTCAGCGGCAGCAGCGGCGGCGGCGGCGGCAGCATCGGCGTCTGCCTCGCCGGGCTCGGCGGCATCGGCATCCATGCTGGCGGTAACTGGACATCATAATCATCATTTGCTCTATCATCCGGCTGCGCAGCATCATCCGCCCAGCGATTGGTATCATACGGCCGCGCCGGCGGGCAGTGCAGAGGCCATGAATCCATTGAATCACTTTGGCCATCACCATCATCATCACCATCTGATGCATCCTGGCGCGGCGACGGCATATTGAGATTGGGAGAACTGGTGGCCCGAGGAGCCGCCACAAGCGGCAACCGCCGCGCCGCCAGAGGATCCAACAACGCCAGCCCTCGACTGGATCTGCTGTCAGCGGCTGCAGAATCTGGCGCTTGTCGCGCAATGTGAAAACCAAATATTTCTGAAAGTTGAAGAAAGCACTTTAAACTTTTTACCTGATAATTGAAAAACTGCTGTTAAAAATAAACAAAAACAAAAATAAAAACGAAAACGAAAAACAAAAACTAAAATAATTATTATATTTAAACCTAAACTAAACACACAGAATTCATCAACGAGTTGAGAGTACTTTAAAAACCAATTATTATTATTATGTATTTTAAAATAATATACAAAAAAAAATTGCCTAAAATTTTTGCTATTTAAATGTTAGTTTTGTAGTTGCTTTTGTTTTAGTGGTGCGAACAAACAAAAATTGATTGTAAATTATAAATTTTAATTACCATAAATGTGTAAAATAACATAAATATACATATATACATATTATATTAAAACTTACTTAAGCTTATTGACTATTTAATTATTAAGATTAGCAAATTTTTCAAGCTGCTTTACACACTCACATTAAACTCACAAAATGCAACCAAAAAAAAAAAAAAAAATAAGTAAATTAAAAACAGCTCCTCCAGCTTTCTAGTACAAAAAAAATTAAAAAAAAACTGAAAAAATTGCAAATACACTGTAAAAAAAAACTTAATCGAAAAGCTACACATATACGTACGTGCATATTTTGGCCTTAGATTTTCCAAGCTTAAGAGTACACAAAGTAAAAATATAAAACAAACAAAAAAAAAAACATCAACACGAAAAATAAATATAAAGAAACTCTATAAAAAAACAACACATTTGATTTAATTTCGTATTGAGGGCAGCTACAAAACGCTGGGGCCTTATATGGTGGGTTTACCTAGGGACCTTTAGCACATGGTGACCTTGGAACTAATTCTAAACCTCTCTCAATTGATTCTGCACGCCTACAATCTGTACTCATTGGCAGTTCCATTTGATGAATTAAGGATGCACTCAATAAATGCAAATGAAATTTACATTTTAAAATTCAAATAACAATTCAGTTTTGATCTGTTCATTAATCGAATCTATTAACATTTGACGGAATTCCATCATGAATATTTATACATACATTTTATACAGATTTTATTTGTTAATTTATTTTGATGCGGTTTTTGGCGGTGCCGAAAATATTTATGCGTATCCGATTTCGCTGGGCAGAGCCATCAAAAATTTGAATGGCCAACATTACAGCGGCTATTAGCAAGCGCTGTTAATTAGCATAAGCATAACATAACAGACTGTTACACTGTGAGAAATAATTTTGAATATAAACATTAACTATTAGAGGATTATCTTCAGCTTTTACTGAGTTCTGTTTACTAACATTAGCACGACATGAGAGGCTATTACACTGGAAGAAATAGTTTGAGCATCAAATATTAATGAATGTATCAATTTCTTATGCAAAATAAGTTAATAAACTAAAAGAGGATTATCTTCAGTTGTTAGCAAGTTCTGTTAATTAACATGAGTATAACATAGCAGGCTGTAACACTGGGAGAGGCATAAAATTTTAAAGCATAAAATATGAACGAATATATTAATATCCTATTGAAAATAGGTTTATAAACTAATTAACATTGGTTTAGCATAACAGGAAAGTACACTGGGAGAAGCAATTTGATAATAATATTGATAAATCTATTAATATATTAAAAAAAAAATTAAAAACTATAAGAGGATCATCTTAAGTTAGAACCGAGTTCTGTTAATTAACATAAGCATAACATAGCTGGCTATTATACCGAGAGAAACAGCTTAAAAATAGTTCATTTTGAAGTAAAAGTCTTCTTGGGACGATAAATAAGTGTATTTTTCTATCACTAGCGAAGTATTATTTTAATTTATGTGTTATTCATATCTATAGATACCCGTATTTCAAACATTTTGCTCAGTGTAATCTAAACTGTGACCCCTAAACGTTATAAAGGTGAAATTTTGTGTTTTTTTTTTTTGGCAAAAAAAGATTTCAAGTGATGAAAGGCCCGTCAAACCCGGCCACGGTTGTTAGCACTCCAGCGTGTAACAAAAATCAAACGATTTATGTTTTTTTAATTAACCCAACAATTTGTTACGTGCCTCAAACTGACACACACGCACACTCACACTCACATATACCGCGAGGTAGGGGCAGCAAATAGCTCGTATAGCCATAGGAGAGGTAGCTGCTCCATCTCTCTCTCTCTCTCTCTCTGTCTCTGTGGCTAGTCAAGCTGTTAGCTGCGCTGTTTGAGCATAACGAATTCATATTTTGATTTATTGAATAGAAATCGATTGGATTAATCTAAAGAAATTATATTGCTGCTGCCGTTGCGACGGCCTGTCTATGAGAATTCGCTACGACTGTGCCTCCGGGCTCTCGCTCTCTGGACGAACCCCCCAGGAGGAGCTGCTGCTGCAAGTGTGAGTTTGCTATTGAAATTAAAGAAAAACAGGCAGAAAATTGTTTGTGCCAAGCAATTAAATTTCGTATTTTTATTATTTCTTTTCTTTTTTTCTTTTTTCGGCCCGAAACTTCCCAAACATGTTGAAATTAGAAAATGGGAACAGGTTTGGTTGGATTCGAATGGGTTGTTTAGTTGGGTTAGTTAGCCAGTGAAAAGCGCAAAAGGCGCCTGGCAAATGCCTACAAAATTAAAGCTATTAAAATAAGTTAATTGCAATTTATTTATGGCAGCTCACAAATTTGCGGAAGAAGAGATTTCTGATTAAAACATGAAATTGTTAGTTATTTGAGACATCTATACTTGCTGTATTTATAAAAGAGTTTGTTCGGACTGACATTGCAAACAACGCAGTCCGCTAGCTAAAAAATGTGAGCCTCGAACCAACAATTTGCTGGCTCAAACCCAGCAGCATTGATGAATTTTCATTTTCGATTATTGTGCTTTAGACAAAAGCATTAAAAACAAAAACTTTCTGGTTGTAATAGACGACGGGCGACTCCAAGATCAAACCTGGAAGCATTAAACAATTTTAATATTTATTTATTTAATTTTGGTTTAAAAACAAAGTCATATTAGATGTAATAGACTACAGACAACACCAGAAAATATCCTCTAGTTTAATCAAAAAGAAAAGACAGGAGTTTTTTTTGATAAATTTGTTCATGGTGGAACTGTTTGTCGCCCAACAACAGTAGCTAGCTGAAAACTGCTCAACTATCACTTTAAAAGTCAAATCTATTTCAATCTATATAGCCTAGCCTAAAAGCTTCGTGTTGTTTACCAGCTGCACAAAACTTTTTTCCCATGCCAAAGTGGACGGCAGAAACCTTTAAACAAATCAAGCTGCGACCACACAAAACCCAACAACAACAAACAACAACAAACAACGTCAACAACTGACAAACATTTGCGCCGGCTGAAAGAAGAAAAAAAAAAACCGCCAACAAAAATGGCCAAAAAGCGCCACAGACAAAAAACTTGTTGACACAAAGCTCTACACCCATTGTATCTGGGCTATATGGGCATGCCGGCTTGCTCTGTCATGCACTCACTCTCTCTCGTCTCTCTCTTTCTCTGTCTCTCTCCCTCTCCTTTGTTCTTTCTCTCTCTCTCACACGGAGTTAACCGTTCACTTTGTGTCGGCACAATTTAAGTTTCAATGAGCGACTATTTGTTGCAATTTAAACTGAACGCGTTTATAAATTGACGTCGGAAACCGGCGTCGAGTGCTCATAGAAGTGGGTACCCCCAACCATAGAACAGGTAACATACGGATGGGGGAGGAGGGGGGTAGCGCGCGGAATAGACCAAATCAACTGGCAGTAGGCAGCGACTGTGACAGCGACAGCGGCGCTGCCAGCTGAGGACAGGCAAACATTTTGCACGCTTTGTTGTGTTGAAATACCCTGTACCCATTGAAAATAACTAAAAAGGGTATGCTGCTGTTGTACCAATGTGTGTAACAGGCAGGAGAAGGCGTAGCCATAAAATGATTTCAATTTTTACATTGGTTTTATGCGCAGAGCAATCTTATCTTTTATCGATTACTCTTCCAATTTCTCAAAACTTATAATAATCGATGTAAAGTCTAGGTTTTATTTTAGCATATAACTGATATTATAAGAGCTAGAGATGGATAGAGAGATAGATAGAGATCAGGATTAGATATATTTGACTACGTTAAATACCCTTTCTTACTTCTCACATTTTTCGAACGCCAGCCTTAAGCCCTGCAATTAGGACGAGGTTCGGTCTGTAAACACAATAGTTATTCAGCAATGAATTTTTCAATAAGTAAAGCTCAGAGCAGATATCTGTTTGCATGAATACAGGGTATGTTCAGTTGAGCACTCTTCGCTACTATTGCCGCGTCTGCTGTTGTTGTGCTGTCTATTTTCGGTTTGTGTCCAAAAAGCGTCGTTTAAATAACATAAATTAATTTAGACTAGTTATAGTTATCTATAGTTATAGTTGTTTGGCTTTTGTGGTCAACTAATTTGTGCGGTTGGCAGTTTTAATTTACCTTTTGCAAAATTTGTAAATTGTTCGTTTAGTTGGGAACCGCATAAAAGTCAGTTTGTCAGCGAGCTCATAAATTTAAATATTGTAAATAAATTTTGCTCTTCCTGGAAAAAACCCGAACTGATATTTGCGATTAATACCATTTTATTCATAATTTTAACTCTACTTAAGTTTTGTATCTACAATCTATACGATTATATAAATAAATTAAGAAAAAGGAGTTTCGGAATCTGTATTTGCTATTTGCCCAGCATAGGAAAGGAGTTTCTTAGATTTCTATTTCCCTGAACTTGGTGAGATTATAATAAGTATTTTCAATTCCTAGAAGAGAGATTCTCAAGTCCAATGAAAATGCTTATATTAGGTTCCAAACTCTCTAACTTGAAAACATTATATAAATTGAAAACATTAAAATTTTTAAATTTCTAGAAAAAGGATTCTAAGTTCTCAAATACAACAAAGATGCCCTTTTTTATTTCTAACTCTCTTTGCTTGATAATATCAGAAAGAATAAAAATAAATGAAATTTGTAAAGTAAATCTTTCTCTTAAGTTTCTAAGTCCTTGAACATGGTAAGATTTTAAAGATAATATAAAATTGTATTTTAAAAAAAGATTTTTAGTTTAATAGGCCAAAGAAAACGCTTTTCGTAGATATCAAACTCGTCTGATTAAAAAAATTTAATAATTATATTAAATTATAGAAAACAAATTTTGTTCTTTGTTTTAAATTATTACGAAAATTTGTAATTTTTTGTGATTACCAGAAGCTTGGCTTTAAAATTAAATGAAGAAGGGTTTACAACGCCATATTGTTGTGTCTTGGCTGATTTGTTCTGTGGTCAAGATCTGTAGGGCCGCCAACAAAGTTATCCTTGGTCTCGCGGGGGGCAAACAAAAGACTCGAAGTAAATTAAAAAGCCACGCAACTTAAGTTTTTCCCATTTGTAAAACGTTGGCAACAATGGATCGCTCCCCACAATTAACGGACAATCGCGAGGCTCGATCGAGTCGAGGCAGACGCATTGGCACCACGATTCACAATACTTAATGATGGATTTTACACTTGGCTAATAGTTTTTTGATACAAAATTTAACGCCAAAGCCAAATTACAACAGTCAGACACAGGCACACAAACACCTCCGCCCCGGCCACACACACAGCAGAAACTTAATTAGTTTTCAAAGTGCAACATACAAAAAAATAAAAGGAAAATAAATGATAAATTGTTGATGCAAAGACGCGGCTGTTGGCTGCTTCCAAGCTGTCTGGAACGATCTGTGTTTCTGTGCCGATATATATTGAGTTACGATGTCGGCGGCACAGATCATTAAAATTACAGAGTTTCCCAAGTTCCCAAGAAATGCCAACAGCTGGCACATCAGAAAAATAAAGAAAATAATAAAAACGAAAAAAACTTTGTAATTTTTCAATAAGAGACCACAAAACTAAATTAGCTGGTTGCAGGGAACGAGAGCGCATGCAAATTTCACAGGAATCAAAAACGCAAAATGTACAAATAATAATAAAAATAATAAAGAAGAATAAGAAGAAGCAGCAGCAGCAGCAGAGGAGGAGGCAGGTCTATATACCAAGCCCAAAAAGTCGTTGCAGTGCCGCGTGTGACTTATGACTGAAGCGGAGACTGGACTCGGGCTTTGGGATCTGGAGACTGCGACTGTCTCAGGGACTGGGCCTTTGCCTGCGCCTGGCATCGTGTGTCTCGTTTCGTTTTGGCCCATGTGCAGACAGTTGCGAAATTATATTTGCGCAGCGTCATGCAGCACCATTGTGTTAAGGAACTGGCGTCCGAGCAGGGACCGAACCAGGCAAACGACTCCGCGGCCGATTTGTCAGTGCAGACGAATAGTTTAACTGGTCCGAGTGCTTTTTGGTACACTCAGCGCAAAAAAATGGGCGAAAATCAAGTTAAAGGCAGCAAAACGAGCTTCTATCAAGGCTGCAAACCGGGTTTGAACCGAGCAAGTTCGAACTTCATGCAGTTTCAATTTCATTTTACATTTAGCCGTGAATCGAACCTCAAATCAAACCGATTGCCCCAAAAAACAGCTGAGCCGAAATCCGAACCATAGTTTATTTCAAAGCTGGTTTGGTTCAAACTAAATGTGGTTTTAACTTAGCCGGTTTAAACCCATAATTTCTTTATCCTTACATTAAACCAAACCTTTCAGCAAGGTAGTTGGCCAAAAAGCAGCCAAACCCAAATAAAATTTAAAATGGGTAAAAAGAATGTGATTAACCCAATTGTGAATCAACATCTAGATTTATTGTTGCTTGCAGATAACCAGCTTTATGAACCGAGGCATTGGTTCAATTCGAGAAACTACAATTTAAAGATCTTCTTTTTAGAATATTAAATAGCTTTCTAAAAGAAAAACTAAAGATATTATTTGGACATTTTTCGCTGAGTGTAGTTGCTTTTGCAGGTTGTTTGGCGTACACTGTAAGAGGCTGCCCTAGTCCCTGCACAGACTACATCATCGTCATCGTGCTATTCAAACAAATGATTTACAAAATGTTAAATGAATTATGCATTCTGCATATGCGACTTGGCCATTTCGTGCCATTTTTCATATTAGCCCCAAGTGGAGAACCTGTGCCTCAGCCTCGCAACTCGCAGCTCGCAACTCGGACTCGAACTTGGTGTTGGCTTTAATAAATTGGCGTGGGGTGCGCCTCCAGCAATTGTTGTTGTTGTTGTTGTTGTTGTTGCTGTTTCTCTTGACCATTTGTGGCTGTGCCCAAGCACTGGGAATTCTATGCTGAGTCGAACGAATGTCAATGCCTAAGCAAACATAGCACTGCTTTTGCCAAAGACCTTTATAATCAAGTCATATAAATTGAGTGCATTTTTCATAATAAATGAAGGGAATTGTCTAAATTATGCTCCTCACTGATATGGGCTGCATCGATGTGCGTGTGGGTTTGGAAAGAGATTCCGCATGCAGTCAAGAGAATAGGCTAGCCAGATCGTAGATCAAGACAGGTTAGCTGATTAAAGCATATCAAAAGTTGTCATGACACAGAAATAGTGTAAAATGTAAGGTGTGATATCTTTTGGTGGGAAAAGTGCTTGAAGCTGAGTCTGCCAATAGGAATATTGGGCTGTTCTTTATAAAATACTAGCTGAAATTTACTTGCTTATTGCTTGAGTCGTGTTTTCTTATTAAAATTGTGAACATATCGTTTTCCACCCAATTTTCACCTGTGTACGTTGATAAACATTTAACATTCCCTCACATTCGTGAATTGCACTTTGTACTCTAATAACTTTCTAGGCAGAGCAATGTATTGATTAATGTTATATGAAAGGCTTAAGCTTGAGGTTCCATCCATTTTCCACTCTTGTGGAATTGTCAACATGTTCACTTTTATCAAAAATTCCAAGTTTCGACAGTAAGTGCATCTATATATTATCAGTATTATCTTTTGTTTCAACTATTCCACAGAGAAATCCACTTACTCCAAATACTAAGAAACCAAATTATAGATTGCCCAAATTTAGACATTGCAACATAACCTGTAAAACTATCAAAAATGTTCCTAAGAAAACACACTCTCTCGCTCTCTCTCTCAGTCTATCGTAAATTATAAACATATCGAGTGGCACATCGTTATAAAATCTAGGCAAGGAATACAATCAAAATCAAGAACCAAGTCAATGTCTGAATGTCTTCATTAAGCAGGTAAAATATGTTGATGTGCCTTAAAACAATATTTGCTCACTTTTGGCCCAATGCAGTGTAGAAATTTCTGTTTAGTTAGCAATTAAAGAGGCTCGATAGGTGGGGGCAATGCTGCTGCAACAGTTGCAACAAGTGCAACACCCCCAGAGCTCAAACATAATGTCTATGCTGGCTGTCAGGGCTGATGTTGTAAACAACAGCGCTGCATATTTAGTATGTGTGAAGAAAATGAATGTGCAACATGGGGCAGCAGCAACGATCGCAACTCGAGACTAACAGTAGCCAGGGGCAGGGCTGCATGTCTAATTATGCTAGAAGAGCTGCCACTACCTCTCTTTGCCTCTTTGGATACCCTGTAATGGACGGGGCATATTACCTAGCTATCGTTAGAAACCTTCCTCATTTACTCAAAGTCGATAAATATCGATTTTCAGCCTTGGCATTTTTAAAATATCCTAGAGACTCGATATGTAGGGTTTCATAAGGTAACATCGATAACTTCTGTCGTTGGCTTAAAATCGATAAATATCGATTCTTGAGCATATATCAGAAATTGCCAGGTATGACATACATATACTCTACATAGTTCCAAATAGCTCATCGGGTACTGTGTTTAGGGTATCTCTTAGCTGGGCACTCTCAACTGTATCACTTTTACTTGTCCTCTCTCCATCTCTGTCGAACACTTGAGCCTTCAGCAAGACCCTTGGCCTGCACTAAAACTGATTTATGCGCTATGCAGGGCCAGACTTGAAGGCGGCTGCGACTGCCTCTGCCTGCTGAAAGTTTCAAGTATTTTGCGGCGAGTTTTCGTAAAGGTGCAACAGCCCACAGAACATAAATATCAAAATGCATTGCATTGTTTTTCAGTTCGTGTGCAATAAAACAAATTATGCCTTGATTTTTATAAGCTGAACTTTATGTTCATATAGAAAATATATGGGATATATGGAAGATGTTGTGCTGTATCCCTTGTGTATGTGTGTGTGTGTGTGTTTGTTTTACTGAAAGCTGGGCGCGATAAGGTTTAGCTGTTGTTGCAGTCGCAGATTGAACTGTTTCAGGATCTCCTCCCGTTTTATAAGGCGCTTCGGCGTATTGAACTGCGTTTCCGAATTGTATAGCATTTGCACCTTTGCTGCAATATCTTGTTCCAGCTCCGGTTTCAGCTGGACGCCCCTTTGGTAGTAGTCAGTACAAGCTCGCAACGCACGCTCGGCGAGTCGGGCCACATGTTTCTCATAGGTAATCGGCTGAGTGTCCTTTTCCTCTTCAGGTAGCCTTAGGTCGTCTTCATCCTCCGGCTGGGTGCGTCGATAGAAACGCTCGCTGGGCTGATAACTGCAAATGCTGAAAGCGCTGCTGTTGGCGGTGCTGCTGCTGCTGCTGCTTGTCCGACTATCCCCACTTGGCAGCGAATGGCAGCTGATATTGTTGGAGCTGCCTTCCTTTTTTGCATCACCCCAGGCAGCTGCCTGCAGCTTGGCTTGCAGCTGGTGATCGTCGTCGCTTAGACTTATGTCCAGCAATTCATCCTCGTTGTCAAACACAATCGCTTTGCCCTTGAAATCCTTGGGCACTTCTAGCAGGGCCTCATCCAGGTCGTATATTTTGAGTGCTCGCTTCTTTTTCTTTGACGACTCGCCCAGCTCATCGCTGCTGGGATATTGAACTCCTTTCTCCTCGCTGGCTATGCTTGTCTGGGAGCATTCCTTGGACAACTTACTTTTCGTGGATCTGTCACTCTCTGGCATTTCCACATAGCACTCCCCCACATCAGCCATATCATTATTGTCAACAATATCGTCTTCCATTTCCTGAATTGTGGGCGTCATGTCTATCTCCATTTCGAAGCTGTCGCTTGGCTCGCTGTAGATGATCTGTATGGGACTACTCGCACGATCCTGATATGTCTTGGGCGCACTCTGCATAGATCGTGTTGTGCTAATTAGGGAACTGTCTGTAGTTGCACCTTTGCTGCTTAAATAGTAATCGTCGACGCTAATTACCTCATCTGCATACAGCAGAGAGCTATCAATCGCCTCAAGAGGGGATATTTCAAAATTCTTGGTGCATCTCTCGTCGGGCCAAGTTGAATTCGTTGGGGATTGAAGCTCCTTGTGATTGTTATTGGAGTTCCTCTCTGATTGTTTGAGCTTATATGCAGTACGCCGCGACTTGGGCTCTTCAATCGGCTTCGAGCAGTCGGTATCGCTTTGCTCACAAGGCATACATCTCTTTTTAAATATCTGCGACTTGCGCTCTTCAATGCGACCTGCTGAACTTTGAGCGCAATTTGATTCACTTTTAGAAGTTTGAATAAAGCTCGTGAAAGAACCTGTGGAAGTATTATCTCTGAATTCCATGCTATCATCAGCTTTTCGTTTATCTATACTTCGCCGGGATTTCCGCACTTCAGTAGGTTTTAGAGAACTCCTTGGACTATCTGCTTTAATTTGTTTACTGCTAACACTTTTCCGAGAACTGCCCTCATCAACCCGTCTGGAAGAATCTATAGAAGCATTCTCTTTTGAGTCCTTGTTATGATCAGCTTTTCGTTTAGCTGAACTTCGCCGAGGTTTCCGCTCTTCAGTAGGTTTTAAGGAGCTCCTTGAACTATTTGCTTCAATTGGTTCTCTATTAACACTTTCCTGAGAACTGCGCTCATCAACCCGCATGGAAGCATCAAAAGAAACATTTGCTTTTAGTTCCTTACCATGATAAGCTTTTCCTGTATCGTCTTTAATTTGTTTACTGCTAACACTTTTACGAGAACTGCCCTCATCCCCCCGCCTGGAAGAATCTATAGAAGCATTCTCTTTTGAGTCCTTGCTATGATCAGCTTTTCGTTTATCTATACTTCGCCGACGTTTCCGCTCTTCAGTAGGTTTTAAGGAACTCCTTGAACTATTTGCTTCATTTTGTTCACATTCCCGAGAACAGCGCTTTTCAACGCGCTTGAGCGAACAAATGGAAGCATTCTCTTTCAATTCTTTGCTATGATCATCTTTCCCTTTAGCTGGACTTCCCTGGGACTTCCGCTCTTCAGTAGGTTTTAGTAACTTCCTTGAATTATTTGCTGCACTTTGCTCACTATTATCACATGCTTGCTTTAAGTCCTCGCTTTCTTTGTACTCAAAATCGGACTTATCTTGATGACATCTTTCGTCACGACCAGTGAAAAAAACTTCAACTGGAGTTTTCTTTAATTTTTTCGAAGAACAAATTCTGTTGCCGGTTGGCTTAACATGATATATATCACAATGTTCAAATTGCAGCACCTCTGTTTTTCTGGTGTCGTTATCATTTGACTTTGAACTCTTTTGTGTAAATTTAAGAGAACAAGCTTTGCTGCTGCGCACTTCACTTTCATGAGTTTTCCTGTTTTCGGATTGGCCATCTCCTTGCTCACTCAAAGAGTCCTTTGCGTCCCTGTGTTGGCTCCCACTAGCAGCCTGATCTTCTTCAAAAGCCTGTGCCAGCTCACTCATGTACTCTTCAATATAGTTTCTATAGCCACTGCGTGATTCTAGCTGATAACGAGCTATTACATCCAATTGTTCTTGAATTAAATATTGGTAATCCTCCTCGGTAAAATAATTATCATTCACTGATGATTGAAAATATTCCGAATCCTTGTCGCTTTCGTTCGATCCCTCCGTTGAGTACTCATTGGGAATATCGGGCTGATCCAAGTGCTCTACCCAACGCGCTGTACGTTGTCTGGATTTGGATCTAATGTAGTGTTCTCTTTTCTCTTCCTTCCGCTTAGATTCTTTGTTGGTATATACTCTGTAGATCTGCTCAGCTTTCTCCTGTCGCGCTCGTGACTCCTCGTAGATTTCGCTATAGATTTGACTAAAAGTTTTCGACTCTTCACTCGACGAGTGCGATAGTTGACTTATATCCGTGTCAGATTGTTCCCGCGGGGTAGCTTGATTAGACATTAAGCCTTCCCTTGCGGAATGTTTTTCTTGTCCTTCAGTTTTATTCTCAGTTAGGTCTTGAGATTTTGCGAGTTCAGTTTTGCCACGACGTGAAGTTGTTTCGCTATCGGTAAAGGTTTCGGGCTCAACTTTGCGTATGAAATTCCTTATAGGTATATCGTTCGGGAAATCATAATTGGCAGCGGCATCTTGTTCTGCTATAAACTGTTTAACATAACGTTCTGCCCGCTTCTGGCATTTCTTATATAAGCTTGGATCGCTATCATCCGAAAGGCAACAGTAAGCAGCAAACTTGGCTTTTTGTTTGGGTTTTTGATCAGGCCGTGGGCGTGTTTCCTTTTTACGCTCGTAGGACCCTCGATCCCATTCGGCATACTCACTGCTCGAATTGAAGCTCACATCCTGTACTTCAGAAGCTTCAACAGGCACAGAAGTGATTCTATTTTCGGGACGCCGCTGCTGACCCAGATTGGAAGCATTTTGAGACATGGGCTGCAGTTTATCAGAAGGAGGATCATAAGTCAGAGCAACAGCTGAGGCTTTTCTCAACCTTACCTATGCTCTAAGTATTCGTTGTGCTTTATTTTTCCGCAACTTCTTCGAGTAGCTAAGCGAGCCTGGTAACTAACAGGCTTTCAGTTAGGTTCTGTGTGCTGTGTGTGTGTTTTATATGTTATTTGACACAAATTACACCGAAGCTGAGTTATCACACAACTTACTCCGCACACTCACACATAAATTTCATCACAGTAATGACCTTTGCTTTCAGCACAACCATCAATTTGGTTCTAGGGCGATGCCACACACAACAACTGCAACAACTTGGCAGCCAAAAGGGAGCCAGCCCCGAGCGAGGAGCCATGTGCTAGGCCACAAAGCACATCACAGCAAACGCAAATCAATTAGCTGCAGCAACAGGAAAATTCAACAACAAAAATACCGAAAAACTTGGAAAATATGTTGGGAAAAACGATGTTTGACTAGGCGAAATCTGAATGCTCTAGGGTGGGTAGGATAATGAAGGGATGGAAGGTCTCACTCCGACGGCTCCCTGAGCTCGAAGTACAGAGATTGAAGCTAGAAAGAATAATTTCTTGGGGTATAAAATGAAATAAAAAGTAGCATTAAAAAATATCGGTACCAAACCGATGAAAAATCGAAGATACCCTAACAAAGGGCAAACGAAATGTAAAGTGGCATCAGCCCAAAAACTTAACTTGCCCACACAACGCGCCCGAAAGTGCAGCAAGTAGCATGCGAGAAGGTGAAGGGGAGGGGGAAGGGGCTTCATTCTGAGGAGGTGCTGCTGGAAACTAAAGACCGATCCGTTACCAGCACCATTAGTGTCACTTAGCAGCTAATTATGCAGCGCTTGTGAATTACTTTTTAATTTGTTGCTGCGCGTGCACCAAAAATAAATAAAGAAGAGGAGTAGCCCCGAGAGGAGCTGCCGTGTTGCGGCCAACTACAAAACTCAAGTGGCAACATTTTTCGAGTGGATCCCAGACAAAAGTTTGGACCGCACCAGCCAGCTTGGCTGCCTGATGCTGGCTGCCGGTCTGCTGGCTGCTAGCTGCTGGCCACTTTCGACTTGGCTCCTTATGTTGCTCCAAGTCTGTGGCACGTGCTGTGGGCGTTCACTTTAATTTAGCTGCCTACCGTAGGGCACCCGAGGGCACAATGTGCCTGGGCCAGGCCAACAGACGAACCGTAGCTTGCCTCAAAATGGGCGTTGGTTTTGTTTGTCTGCCCATTTTGTGGAAATTATGTTGTTCGTGGACCTGTAGATGCAGCTGGTAGAAGTGCTGGAAGAAGGTGGCACAAGTGCCTTTTGCAGTGGGTTTTAGTGAGTAGCTGCAAGGAAGTTCCGGAAAGCAAGTGAAAATAAAGAGCTTAGGATTATATTCATTCCGTAAGAGCAGTTGGCTTTGGTAAAATGGTAAGTGTCAATTATTTCAACTCTTTTCAACCACCGGATAACTTAATTGTGTAAGATCTCAATTCTTGGGCAATGAATTCCTTATATCAACCTATGCCAGGCAACTTATTGTAATAAAATTAAAAAGGTTAACCCTCTTTCCTGTAAGCTCCTGGATCTCGATACAGAAAATAATCTCCCCAACAAACTTGATCACTTGGTATATTTCCAGAATTCTAAACTCAAAACAAGCTTTACAATCTTTATGACTAGTTTTTATTTCTGAAATAGCTTCAGCTAATTGACTTCTTTTGAGTGGAAATTCTTTCTTTTGCTTCCAACTAACTTAACTGGTATTCCTATCGCTCCGTATACCTTTTGATCTTCACGCCTTCGGTTGGCACGCTTCGAGCCGCTCAATTCTCTGTTGCAAGTGTTAATTAGACAAAGCTAATTAAAAATTTTACGCACACACGCGGTCCAGCGCCAGGCAACCTGGCCGCAAAGTAGCCCCAATCAGACCCCAACCTCAGCAGCTACTAAAAACGTAGTTGCAACCGAGACGGAGACGCACTCCAAAAGCGGCGCAAGACACATTTATTAAAGTCGCTCAGTCGCTCAGTCGGCTCGATTGGGTAGCCTGGGTAGCATAAATCGTTCGACTGACATGCGACAAAACGTGCAGGTTACATTTGTGCGGTGCGATTGAAGGAAGGACCAGAGACGAACAGCGATCAACGATCGACGATCGTCGACGGGCTGACGGGTAATTAAAAATTGATCACGTTTAACAAAATGCTACCGAAACAATATATCACAATGCCTGGGGCAGGCACGAGAAGCAAGACGCAATGTTGACAAAGTCACAAAGACGATCGCAGATTGAAGATTGGACATATCGATCGGTTCGGCTGCCACATTAAAGTCAAAGCTACAGGTTACAGAGAGATTTCTCTCCCTCTCTCTCTCTCTGTCTCTCTCTGGCTTGTTGCTGTATTTTTTCGCTGTCAGTCCATCAATAATTCATTGCGACTGAGTGATCTATTCAGCGAACGATCGCCAAGGAGCTGCAGCATTCGAACGCGAGAAAAAAGATATTCCGCTTGTCAGCTACAGCACAAGTGTTTTTTTCTGCCTCGCATTATGCCAAAACAAAACTGTGCCATAAATACAATAATGATAAGTTAAAAAAAAAAAGCAAAAAGGAAAGGAGAGTATAAAGAGCGCCAAGACAGCTACAATGAACGCTGTTCCGCTCATTATTATTAGCCGAGTTGAGGAACCCTTCAGAACGGGTGTTGGTTTTTCACAATGAACTTCGGAGCTGACAAAAGGAATGCGAATGCGATGGGTCCTTTGATTGAAAATTGCCGCTGCAATTTTTGACAGCACTTCAGAAATGTTATTAATGCGTTGCAATGCGGTAGGCCAAAACTGCTTACGTCTCCGTCTCCGTCAAGCAACAGTTTAGCTAATGGACTGCAATTTACTTGGCCCAGTCAAGCTTTAACCCTTGACATGCGCGCGCGCTCTTTCCTCCCAAATACATTGCGAGGTGTTGACAAAACATAAAGTTCGTGTGAATGCCAACACGTTGTGACAATTGTTTGACAACAACAACAACAACAACAATAACTACAACAGCACAACTATGAAAAGGTCCTCAGTGCAGAGACACACCATCATGACTCTCCTCCCACAGCTACATAGTACGAGAGCTGGCCCCAGAGCTGAGCTGAGCTCTGCTCCCAGCTACGTTGCCTCGCAATCATCGATAACATTTTCGCAGTTGTTGTTGCAGTTGTAAAACGTGCAGGCCGCGCGCGAACATTCAAAATATGCAAATGCCACAAGGAGAGCAACAACAATTGGAAAAAGCCACACAAAAAAATAAAAATAAATAAAGGTTAAGTTTGATATACCGAAACTTGGATACCCTAAACAATTGCAATTACTTCCAACACGGTTCAAGCAGTTTGCGCTATTCTTCTTTGTGCGCCATCCTTAAACAAGAGATCAGCTGGCGCACTCTCTGGACTTCATTCTCTTGCAGTTACGCTCTCGAAAGCTGTTTTGCTATTCTCCTTTGTGCGCCATCCTTAAACCAGAGATCAGCTGGCGAGTTCCCTTGAGATTATTCTCTTGGATTTACACTATCAAACGCGACGTTGCTGTTCTTTTTGGTGCGCCATCCTTAAACAAGAGGTGATTGGAATTTCCCTTCACAAGAATTCTATATATTTAAAGTCAAAGAATATTTGCACGTCCCCAGAGGCTAAGCTACTGACTCTTGTCTGGTATTCAATTTTATAACACAAACAAAATATTCCCAGCGAGAGAAGTGGAATCGGAGAGGAAATCTTCAGTAGAATCCTAACTCTAGAAAAGGAATGTATATCTTACCAGCTTCAGCTCTAACTTCTTCAGTCTCTGCTTGGTAGCCAATTCGATAATATAGTCAAACTATTTTTCATAATTTCAGGTAGGGTATTCACAACAATCGTCTACTGCAATCATCATCATCATCGTCATCGCTGTCGACGTCGACGTCGCCGCTGCGTCGCTGTCGCTGTGCTGTAGCTGCCTTATCGCCTGGGGGCATTCAAAATGTTTGTATAGGAGTCATTGCATATTTTCTGCTGGCTTTTTGAAATTCCGCGAAATGTTGCTTTTCGGCCATAGACGGTCAAATTGAAACTGGCTAATCATATTGACAAGCGCGACAAATCTTCAACAGCTGACAGACATTTCGGTTTCGCTTTTGTGGCAGCAGCTTGTTCAGCAATTAGTCATCGCTCGATAGATACGATACGGGTATATCCATATACTTATAAAAGAGTTCGACCTGGCAGACTGAAGCTGCATAGCGTCGGACCAGGCAAGCGACAGTTTGCCAGTTCAAATTAAATAGCAATTACCGAAAACAGAAAATATATAAGCAGGCTTCGATAAAGTGGATTAATAAACTTCCTTAGAAAAGAACTTTATTAGACAGAATAGAGTACCAATTTCCCACCCATTTTCTCTTAAGCATTGTGGCTGAAAGAAACTTGCAAGTGCAAGCTGCATTCCTAAATGTTGAGAGATACCTTTAGATCTTCTTTAAAATCTCTATTTCGTTATTTTCGAGTTATCTAGTAGCTTATACCCCTTGCCTCATCTCCCTACACCACATATGCCATATGCTCGCAAATTTTGAATACCTGAGCTGTGTTTTATGCTGCTTTATGGTGCTCCCCCGCTTGTATCTGGAACTGTTCTGCTGTTCATCTTGTGCATGTTCGGGGCAAAAGGAACAACACCAGAGCAAAGCTAAAGCAAAGGAGAGGAAGAGGCAAAGCCAGAGCGAAACGAAGCGAGGCATATTGATATCGTGCATATTGATCTTGTTTGGCGATAAGTGTGGAGTCTATACTCGTACTCGTATATAAAAATATTTGCTACGTTTGGCTTAAGCCACTTCCATGGAAGTTGCTCGCATAAAAACCAACCAAAAAAAAAAATAAATAAAAGAGGAGCAGAAACAAAGCGCAGTTCCACACGGCTGCAGCAAATGGCATTAGACTCCAGCGATTTGGCCAGTAGTTGGTACGTTTTGGGGCTAAAATGCTTTTGCGCTGCGGCATCACAGTTGAACCCGGGGTTGCGCCAATGGGCAAGTGAGCCAGGCCAACCAGGCGGTCGGGCTCGACCAGGCGGCTGTGTCTGGTTTTTGGGGGCACATGTGGCCCAACACCAGGCACAGCCTCAGCCACAGGCACAGCAACAGCTATAGCTACAGCTAT